TGGGAGGGGTAAGAACCACACCCCCCCCCCCCCCAAAAATCTAGCACGTCCCAAGTGAGAGGTAAAGGCTGCTGGGCTAACCTGATTGTGGAGAAGATTAGAGAGCTGGAGGGGTTGATGTCGCCGCCGCCGCTGCCGCCGTCGCAGACCGAGTGAAGGCCAGCTTGCTCCTGAAGGCTCTGATGATGAAGGCGCACCTTTTGCATGTGCTCGTGGTGGCGCTCGCTCTCGCTGGGCACAGAGCTGGTCGGGGGGTGGCACAAAAGTGGATCATATAACGTTGCGCGACTTTGTCGCCCAATCTCTGATGCATTTAAAAAAATGATTATTCCATATGCATGACAATTATATCTGGGCGGTACAAACATTTTGGGGAAGATGGCGTCCGCACGGTCGGGGGAAGAGATGTGCTGCTCGGGGTATCGGCTGATGTGAGACGGGAAACTGCTGTACGTGGCTGTGGTGTGGTAGCTGCGAGGTGCAACCTGCGATGAAGGCTGGGAAGGAAACACAAAAGCTTTCAAAGCGTTCATGGTCGCATTTGTGCCGAGATACCGAAACCAAGCGCCGTTTAAAATCGCACTGTTGAAGCCTCTTGTTTTGACCCTCTTCCACACCTACTTGGTGAAAACCGTACTCGACAGTAGACGGGTGGATTCCAGTTGGCAAAAACAGTGAATGAGTTACGGTAGTTATTACTCGAGCTGTACTTCCAAAGACTGGACACTTTTGTCTTACGTACCTCTGCGTCCACAGCGGCTTTCCTTTGCCCGCGGAGGTCTCGCACCCACTTCAGCGGCTTGACGCTCACTTTGAGCTGGCCGTGGCAATGGCCGCCGAAGTCGGTGACGTTGTACCAGCCGCAGAGCGACTGCAGGCCGCACAGCAGCGGGGTCAGATCAACCGAAGCGAAGCCGATCACCTGCTCCGCTTCGGCGGTGCCTTTGTGCCAGACTTTGAAGACCAAGCACTGTTGAGGGTCAAGGAGGAGCTGCTTGGCCAGCCTGATGAATTCAATACAAAAGCATCACTAAAGCAGCCCACTGTGGAGATTTCCCCACATCATTTCTGGGGGAACGGCACCCGCCTGCAGTCACGCCAGTGGTCCCACACATACAAACTATGACACTTACTTTATAGCGCCCCCCCTTCCTCCATTTCTATACATCAAAACACACATTGCTCTGTACCGCGTGCTAATCATCGTCGTCGTCCAAGCGAGTGGCGCATATTCTGGCAAATCTTTCCGTCTGTCTCTTCCTGGAAGTGGGCGACATGTCGGGACAGCGTCGTGGACCCCTGCGAGGAATTTGAGGCGGAGTCAGGCCACGCTCCTGTCAACAAAGCAAAAGTCATGAAATCACAAAGCGCAAGAAAAAGAATTTCAACAAAATTAAATGCAAAATTCAATTTTAAGAAACTGTTTTTGGTGCGCAGATTTGTTTGCCCGTGCGTGGTGCCACGACAGTTTGCGCTCGCGTGTTACTCAGGCCAGCTCACACCATTGAAGAGCTTCATGTGAAGGTGGCTGGTTTGTGTTGAATCATCGACCTACCAAATTCCGTTTTTGATGGAAGATGGGTTCAGAGGTGTGCACGTTCGAGACGTATGGCGCTGGCGCAAGTGATTAACCACGCTTTAGAAGCATCTACGCGCAATTACGACCCTCTTGTTGTCGTGGATTTTGACGAGGAGCGGCAGTGGTCGGTCCTATTGCCCCTCATAAATGGGTGGGTTGACTTGACCGAATTACAGACAAGAAATCTATCACTCTGATCATCACATCCCAACAATTCACCATCAGTACTCACTGTGTCGCTGCATGAATTGGAGAAAGAGGGCGCCAAGCCGACCACTCTCAGAGACGCCTCCAGCTGGTGAGAGGGCAGGAAAAAGTTGGGAAGGGAACTTTTGGTGGCAAGAGTTAAGCAAAACAAACCCCGCAAAAAACGCCTGATGGCATTTGACTTGTGGATGAAAAAGGCCCTTGAGGACCCACAAGGCCATTCGACCCATGCTTCAGCCCACTTGACACGAAGACTGGCACTTTGGTCGGCATGACGATAGGCCGACACAGCAAACCAGGGGTGTCCAGACTTTGGCCCGAGGACCCCCTTGTCCAATCAATGTGCACGGGGCCGCTGGCCACTCCAGAAGCTTGACAAATCTTTTGTTTTTTTTTAAATCTGCAGTTTATAGGATGAACCCGCCTGACGCCTGCCATAAATAATGTGCTCATCTTTACCTTGACAGATGGATTTTGATTTGAAGAAGGCGAAAGATGGCATTCACTTTGAAACAGTCATTCGTGCCCTGGTCACATTGCGGCTGGATTATTGTAACGCACTTCAGTTTGAAGCCAGGCAATCCCGCGGTGCTTCCGGTCTTCGGACCGGACGCGACGAGGGGTACTGGGAACTAAGTGGAGGCTCGGAAGGGACGGAGCCTTTTCCATTGCCGCTCCCTCTCTTTAGAATGAGCGTTGGACCAGCCCTCTCTCTGCCCATCTTGAAAACTGTCCGTAAAACTCATTTTTATTTGTGGGCTTTTGACTGCATGAGACTTAATTTTTAGTTGGGCTCTTTTTGAGCTTTCTCCTGTTTTCGATTTTTTGGGTTGTTTTTTTTTTTTGTGCTCTACAAATACAGTCGAGTTGAATTGCGCACAGGCATACAATGGTCCTTAGGAGAAAAAGTCTCGACACCCCTGCAGTAAACCGAACTACAATGAATCCAGAGTGAGGTTGTTGGTTCAACGAGCACCGAAGGATACACTTGGTTCTCGGGCGTGGAGCCCGCCGCCGGCGTGTCGTCATCGCTCTGAGAGATTGAAGCTTCTTCTGATGATTTATCAAAGCTGTCAGCTGGGCAGCCCTGAGCGATGACTTCCTGTTTCCTGCTGGATTTCGTCCGACGCTCGCCCTGGGCCTCCGGGCGGTCCGAAGAGACGCTATTCCGCAAACTGGTCTTACCGGTGGAAATCGTCACATCGTTCAAATTCCTGGGCTCCACCACCACTTCCTCGTAATCCTCCTCACTGCTGCAAGGCGATTGACATTCTTCATCATCATCGGTGGTTTCTGTTCCTTCATCGTGCCCGCCGCCCTCTTCTTCCTCAGGCTGAGAGCTGGGAAATGGTGACCGGTGACAGGAAGCGGCGTGTGGGCCGGCGATCACGTCAGTCTGGCTCTCTTTGGCCGATCCACCATGGAGGATGGAGGAAACGGCTTCTCGGTGTTGACCTTCAATTTTAAAAGAGAAAAAGAAAAGGTGACTATATGGGTTTGTCCTCATTACTACACTTCCCGCTGGCAACAGCTATGATGGCAGCGGGAGTAAACAAACCCTTCGGTTATTTGAGCGACGCAAAGCCTTTTGGAAAACAGGGGAAATTGATTCAGGACGCCGAACGGTTTGAGTTATCAGCATGTTCATGGGAAAAAAAATGAAGCTCTTCAACCAAATAAGTCCTCTTAAGATCTGCTGACTTGAGACGGTGAGTTTGCAGAGCCTGAGCTCAAGGCTCACCATTGTGGACATCACCAGCTAACTGTTGGGACGTGGCAAGAAGGTGCCGCGTGTCGCTGTCGGCCCGCTTCTGCTCATCTCGGTCCGTGGCGGGC